AAAAAGACATACATATTAAATAGTTCGCTGAACATTCCTCGGGATTAGATTCTTCTTCGAATATGACGTTTCTCGCTTGCGTTAGGACGATAAAATTCTATATATGTACATGTGTATGTATGCGTTATCCAAAAATTGAGTTGATCGACACAGTGACACGCTGAAACCGCGAGTTTCCGGTTTACTATCTTCGATATTGAGTGACAGTAGTTTGATATTAAATTTCGAAAGTATGACCGATCTCGGCACTGGTTAACTACAAAATCGGAATCAGCTGCGAATTCCGACGACGTCACGCATAGAAATTGCAAGCTCTCGATTGCGAATTGTGACGGATGGGCGATCGCGCTCTTTGCACGACGTGAAAAGATACGTATCGCCCTCCTTATCGTGCCACTCTTTCATTCTCACTCTCTTCCTTATTCTATCACTCTCTCTTCTTCCCTCCCTCTCTCTCTCTCTCTCTCTCTCTCTCTCTCGTTCCCCTCTCTCTTTCTCTCTTTGCCTAATCACTATGGAATGTATAAAAGAAAAGGATACTCGCGCCTCTTTATCGACTCCATCGCGATCGAGCAATTCGCTATCGGTCGCGATCATCAACTAACCGTCGTCGGTGATAACCATGCTGATACAATAAGTTATCAAAGTAATTCGATCGAAATTTTAACGTCATTGGCATTGGTATTGGCGTTTCGACAAGGAGAATATAATCGATTCTCTCTCGGTAAACACACAAAGCGGTCCGTTGAGATTAATTATCATTGACCGTGCGGAAACAACCGTAACCGTTGCATTTCTGTGTATTCGAATCAGAAGTTATTTAATAAATTTCGTCACATCAAGTAGTATTCCATATATTTTGCGATTTATTAATTCCAAGAAAAAAAAAAAGTACAAAAATGTGTCCGACAGATTTTTGAAAATCTCACTCGCTATTGAACAAATAGCACCAGCGACCTTAAAATACATACAGAATCAATTCCACGGATAAATATTGCCACAAACTCGAAATATTTTCCTGTGTTTTCGCAAGAAGGAAATATATATCAATCCGCGACAAGACAGTTTAGTTTTACTTTACAATTTGTGTATGTGTAAGAATCTTGTCATAGAAAAATAGCTTATATCCTTCTCATTTGAAAGAGGTTCTAAAAAAAATATATATTCGTCCTCCTTGTGTATTCTATTAAACATTAATATATCGATAGGTATTTCAAATCGGTAATCAAACGTTTCATTTGCTTATTTACAATTTGGTAATATGTTACAAATTACCTATCGAGAATAGTCCATCATTATCATCGTGTCTCATCGTTATATGACCTAATAACACATGTACGTGAAACGAAAAAATGTTGATATATATACACCACTCAAGCAAATAAAAGTAAATATATATAGATTATTTTTCTCTCCTCTTTCTTCCTGTAAATCGCGCATATTGTTATGGACGCGACCCAAAATATGATTCCCGTAAAAACCCAGGCTACGAAATATCGTGTGGCAACACTTATGCGGGACAGTGTATAACGAACGTCATCGCATTGTAAAGTAATCCACAAGTATAAAAATCACCAGAGGACGCGTACGTTTCGTCTTGTACGTGCATCGGTTTCATCGACGAGAAAATTAAAGTTCGCACGAGTTCTGGCTAGAGAGACGCAAGGTATATTATATAAATCAGCCAACGTGATCGTCCGAAACATTCTCACAGTCTCATTTATAGCGGATGGGTGCCAGAGAATTGTGCGTTTTCACGCTGACGTATGTCAAAATATGCTTGCCCCGTGTTTGAAGCTTGAGAACTTGAGACTCCTACGCTACGTCATTATACATCACCCTCTCACACTCCAGAATTCACATAAGAGGCGGATACGAGTAAGGGATGAGGATTAGGTATTACGAACGAAATCGTTATAAAATACTCAAATTACGAAAAAGTACCGGCACACCTGCTGGCAACAGAAAAAAAAAAAAGAAGTATTTGGAATGCATGGCACTACCACAGACACGTTTCTCGACGACGCGACGTAACCCCCGTATATATATCGCATTGTTCGCGACAACGGCTGGCCGGCCGGCCGGCCTCTTTTTGACGGAATGTCGCTGCATACTTGTCATGACACATCATATATTGTATATCTGATGGAGTTTCCGAAAATACGCGGGGCGATAGACTGAACACGATTTGCGCGGTCGGCACGGCGCTGGCGGCTACGTGTCATCAAGGACGCGGTATAAGCGGAGGTAGAAGTACGGGATACTTGAGACAACCCGGTCACAACGTGGAGGTGGAGCTTGTGATTGCGCGAATTTTGCTCTCTCTGCGCGCGATCTCGCCCTCGAGAAATAGAGAAAAGAGATCTCGCTCTCTCCCTCCAGCCGACACGAGGCTATGTCAATTACCCGTTTTTAACGCGACTCGACTAGTTTACGCGATTACGGTACCGCTTCAAAGTGTTGGTGTGAACCGCGAGTACAAGGGCTCTCCCGTGATGCAAAAGCATCACGGGACGGAAGTCCCTGCATACGGTAACGTGCGATCGGGAAGACGATGATCTCACCCAAAACGGACTCGAGTGGCTTTTGCGGTGGCGCCTCAGACGTCTTATACATGGAAGGAAGAAACGAGTGTTTAAAAAATGTCTGGACAAGCCGTGCAGCGTTGTTCCAATGGCAGTGCGAAAAGCTCTCTTTCTTACTCTCTCTCTCCCCCCCCTCTCTCTCTCTCTCTCACTCTCTTTGTCTGTGGCGCTACTTGCGAGTACCGTGATCGCGTAAAGTGCTCGACTACTAAAAGGGATGCACGTGTGTGTAGTGTATATATATCGAGGGGTCAGGGCAAGGAAAGTATCGAGGGGTAGAAGTAAGGGGATGGTGAGGGGGGGGAAGGGGTTGATCTTGAGCACTCGATATCATTTGTTCCTACGGACGTTTAAGGCCGGACGAGGACTTCGGTACAACTAAATCACTTATACCAGCAAAATATTAACTTTAATGAATCAACAGAGCAACAGACATTCACGTACGGGGATAAGTAACATACACAACATCTCGTCTCATACAACTACAACAGATCACGCGAATACTCGCGCAGCACGATCGGATCAGGGTTCATCCATGACGAATGCTCCCGATCTTTCACATTCAGTCTCTCTTTCTCTCATTTTCAATCACCCTATCTCTCTTTCTCTCTTGTCTCGCATTCTCTCTGTCTCTCGCTGCTGCTCATTCACACCTCACTCTCTGGCTGCACAGGAAATCGAAATCTTTCACACGGGCATAAATTCGATTCTCATCACTGATAGCTAGATAAAACGTGATTCAGAATCTGGTGCACATCGTTAAAAAGCTCGACGGGGGCTTCGCAACGTGTCAACCATGAATCACCGTGAAGCAAGTCTCTCGTTTTTTTCTTTCTCTCTTTTACATACCCATACACACACCCACACACACGTACATGCGCACATGTTTGTATTTCACTGTTTGTCTCTTTCATTCTCTGTCTCTTTATCTCATGTTTCTCATGCTGTCACTTTATTCTGTTCATCCAAATTCTTCCCACAAGTCTATCGCTTTCACTCTTCCTCACATTCACACATGTACTCCCCGCTCAACCCCCCTCTCTCTCTCTCTCTCTCTCTCTCGGTTATGCTTTATCATATTCGTAGCATCTCATTTTCTCGCATCTTCTTCCATTCACAATTCCTCTCACAATCCACTCATATCACATCCATCGAAGTCATTCTCTCAACAAGTTTAATCTCTCAATCACACAGGTAGAAGTCGCAAACTCGTTTACCAGGCACACTTGCAACATCTCTCAGCAGGCTTCGGCCTTCACTCACTCATCGGCAACATCCACTTGTATTCCTAATCATCCAATTATCGGCATTCGGCAAACAGGTACTTATTTATTCTCTTTCTCTCACTCTCTTTTGCTCCCTCTCTCTCTCTCTCTCTTTCTCTCTCACTCTTACTTTCTCGCACTCTCTTTCGCTCTCTCTCTCTCTCTCTTTCTCTCGCTTTCTCGCACTCTCTTTCGCTCTCTCTCGTTTTCTCGCTCTTTCTCTCTATCTCGCGCACGCTCGTTCTCTCTCATTCACTTTCTTTCGCTCTCTCTCTCTCTCTCGCTCTCACTCTAAATACCCTTTCTCTCGGATCATAGGCTGCGCCCGACGCCGATATCGATAAAATACCGTCGCCAGGATAGGGACACGTGCAGACTCATCACCCCATCTCGTCATCGCTTCGGAACTCACGCACATCCATCAACTCGCATCCGCAACATCCAATCTTGTTGTCTTTGTAATGTGTTTGATAGCTTTCTAGTCAAATCAAATTGCACGACAGTACAACCGTGGGGTGATCTGTAAACAACAAAAGCGAGCCAAATATCAGTCACCGTCGCTCATCGGTGCTTCTTTCTGGGGAGGGAGGAGGGTGTCGGGCAGGCTGTCTATCGCGTATACGGCGAGTCCGAGGGACAGAGAACAACGCTACGACGAAAGGTAGCGCGTTCCACCCGACATTGAGAATTCCTCAATGTCGCCAAACGTTCGCGTGCTCGTCCATACGCGCGCTTTCTCTTTCTCTCTTTCTCTCACTTCCGCCCCCTACCCCTTCTGTATTTCCTCTAACAGGGAGCACTACCCTAACTCTACGCTCGCTACACAAATATCGCCGTTAAGTAACAGACAACACTTGCCACCGCAGTAACGAGGACTATGTACGACAACAATGTAACTGATCAAATGTGCGAAAACATGAAGGAGGAGGAGGAAAAGCGCGTGAAGAGAAGCGATTATAAAGTAGTAATGAGTAGATATCCAACCATCTCTCTCGTCGCTAGTGAAATACAGTCTGTGAGGTATGTGAGACTGTATAAACTCAGAATAAAATGCTGTGTCGGTGCGTTTTTTAGAGCGCGAGCAAACCGCGCCGAGGTCGTTGCGACTAATCAAACACGGTGTTTACAGGTGCCAGAAATGGCGGGGTACTCACCAACTGGACGTAGCGTTGGCGGCGGTCTTGAGCTTTCGAATCTCCTTGGCGGCCCAGCTAGCCAGAGTTTTGGTTTTATGAGTGCGCGACTTCCGACCCTTGGCCAATAGCTCATTGAGCGGCTCGGTTTCTACCATCGGCAGTAGTTTGACTCCGAACACGGTAACGAGATCACCCAACAAGCCCACAGAGGCCGACACGTTACCTTCGGAGTGCTCGCGATCCTGGGCTATGGCGGTGATGAATTGCAGGATGTACGGTACGTGCGGCTCAATTAGAGAGATAGCGGCGTCCGGACACGTGGTCCCGTCCCCGCGGAGACCCTGGACTATACCAGTGTAAGCTTCGAGCACGCCCTCGCGCAACTCGTTCAGGTAATCGATCATATCGTAGTCGCTTCTGTCGACGTTAGCCTGCGACGCCTGCACCAAGGTCTGCAGCACGACGTCCAGGTACTTTTTAAACTCTGGACCGATGCTCAGCGCGATATCGCCGAAGGCCGAGAAGATCTGGGGTTTCACCGACCGGTGGACCGCGTTGTTGCCAAGATTCTCGAGCAACAGTGTCATAATCTCGTCGCAATAAGGTAACATCTTATTCTTCAGAGCACGGCAGATGTCACCGGTTAAACCAACCGCGGCGCAGCATACCTGATATTCCGCGTGATTCTTCAGACCAAGGCAGAGGTAGGGCTTGAATGCTTCCATGTATTTCAAAAAGCCTTCGCCGAGCACCTCGACGAGAGTTGACACGGCCATGAGCGCGTCTTCCTGGACACCCCCTGCCTTGCAAGAATTGGAGCTGAACATGGCTAGCAGAGCGGTCATGATTACGTCGGATATCTGCGGTGCGTCCTCCGGAGTAACCTTACGTAGTACTGATTGCAGAGTTGCGCATAAAAGAGACTGCAAATCGTTGTACTGAGCACGATCCGAGTGACTCTGTATATGCGACTCCATTTGCAGTACTTGCTGTAATCTCTCCAGTATCACCATCGTGGTCTTCTGCACGGTCACGTAGCAATCACGCGGCGAATTCTTCACCATCTCCATCAGCGCCTCATAAGCGGCAGATCTTAGATTCGCCTGCGCACCATCCGGTCGATCCGTAGTTTCCAAGAGTCGTTGAACAATAAAATCAAAGTATTGAGACATGCAATATGTTTCCGGCTGATTGCCATCTTCAGTAGCTTCAGCGGACTCGTAGCTTGCCTCCGCCAGCCCTGTGAACGCCCAGCACACATTCGCGGCGACACGCGGTTCGGCCTTCAGTCCGTTTACCAGGGACTCCAATAGCGGCTTCAAGTAGGTTTCGTTTATCGCGGCGTCTGGAATGATCTCGCAAATGCGGCCGAACGTCCACGCAGCCGTGTCTCGAACGACCACGCTGTTGTCGTACATTAACTCGATGAGAGTGGGCATCGCCTGTTCCACTAGCGGCTTCAAAGTGGTGGGTTCCAGACCTCCTAAGATAGAACCAAAAGCCATAAGAGGCCGCTTCTGTACCTCCAATCCGGACTCTTGATATTGTCTTTAACGAAGGGAAGAACGAACGGAACGATATTCTCTTCGCAGCACGAAGACAACAACATCAGACAAACACCAGCGGCTTTCGAGGGATTCCAGCAACATCAATCGTTTGTCACATTGAATTATATGTATAAGATTTACCAACCTCCTTTTCGAAATTTCCTTTGGTGAATTCGAGAGAATTGTATAACGCGCTTGTGGCAGCTAATCGAACATGATTCGACGTACCCGAACCATTCATGCCGTGAATGATAGCAGTGAGAATCTGATTTGACTGCGATACTAATACTTCGCTTTCGATTTCTTGGCAAATATATCCAATAGTCTCTAGAGTGGCCTCCTTCATTATGTCGGTACTGGACGGGTTGGTGACATTATTGAGTAGCACCTCTATCAATTCATTCCATTGCCCCACAGGCAACTCGGCAACAGCGACGTAAGCGACACATTGCGCCGCGGAACTTGGCCTGTTGTTCTCAGTTCCTAATGCTCCTAAAATCTGTAAAGGAGCAAAAGTTTGGCTTTATCATACAAAAGAACAATAGCATTATGCTTGAAAATTGTAATTTTTTATACCAACATTAAATGAAAATATATTTCTGATCAATAAGCTGAAGCAGTACTTTTGATGAATTTTTACTTTAACTGTACTCCACAGAATTTAACTTGAGTATTACAATTTTCAAGCGCATTCTATAACATTAAAATATCTTGTACAGGAAAAGAATAAATAGCTTTAGCTAAAAGATTAATTCATCTCTCCTTCCAAACTTATAATTTACATAATAATATAATTTGCATAATGTAAGCAATATTGTGTCTACTACAAGTGATATTATATATATAAGCTTCTATTATAAATTATTTATTGAATCATATATGAATCATATATAATGTACATATATATTTTAATGTAAATTCATCATATTAATACCATCAAATAAAGTATATATATTTGATAATCCAGAAAACTCAAATGAATGCTATATTTACTTAATACAGAATAATGAACAAAATAAAATATTAACTTAATATAGCAGATTATGATAAATGTATAATACTTACATTTTTCTTGATGTATTCTCTTGTTTCAGTGGGAATAGCAAGCCAACGTTGCTGATACTGGAACTTCATATCAGGATCCTTGGAGGTAAGTTGGTTCTTGAGCTGTAAACCCGCGGCCATACGAGCAATGGGGCTCGCGCCGACTGTGAACAGCACAGCGCTGAGTCGTTGTACGAATTCATGCTGAAACAGACGTGGAAACGCAAAGAAATTAGAATGAGCATTGCCTACTGTGGAAATCTCGGTAAATCTCAATGTCTCAATTACTCACAAGATTAGCATCAGCCGCCTGTTGGAGAAAGCTCTGTGCTGCCACCAACTCATTTTTATCTGCGAATGAAATAAATAAATCGTATCTGAGATCTCCGCAACGTGGAGAAGCGACGGATCGCCGCACGTGAATTGTAGGTTAGACGAGCACGACGCGTTGGCCAAACGCGTATCGCAACAACGTTGGGATGCGTGCAATCGTCATACCGGACAATACTTTTCCCGCGGCGGACAAAGCGCCTAGCAACAGTCCGTCGGAGCATGATATCGCGCGTCGTCGTATTTGAGCTCGCTCACGTTCTCATCCATACACATAAACGATAAAGGCAAGGTCGGGAAAGGCGCGATGCGATCAGCAAGACCGCGATGCGGCAGCCACGTTGTGCACGTTGCGACAAATTCGCCGGAGTAAGCGGAGCGTAACGTGCACGCGGGCGCGACGTCGCTACTCGCGTATTCAAGATCACTCTCCCGTGCGTGAGCACGGGAGAGATCGCGCTGAATGTTGGACGAACGAAATTTCCAGAAAAAACACTCAGCGGCCTGACTAAAACGGCGGGCCACCGGTGTCGTATATGACATCGCGATGGCACGATGGGCATGATGAAAGTAGCTGCCGATTGTACTCACCCGACGAGACGGTCCTCTCGAGGACCTGGATTAGCTGTAGCGTCGTCGGGTCCATCTGCATGGCTGCGGTGAAGTGTTCTCGATTATACAACTCCCGTCACGGTATCTCTCCTCGGCGGTACAACAGGAGGAAGTCTTACGTTTGCTCCCTGGTACGAGAAATCTCCTTGGCGAGACCGGCGGATACCCACATGTAGCCACCACCGAATCAACTGCCTTCGATGTTCCCCCCACCTAGACGCCCACTTCCTGCTGGCTGCCGATTCTCTTCGTCTCTCTCTCGTCTGGCCCAACTGCCGTGCAGTCTGTCTTCCTCTTCTTCCTCTTTCTCCCCTACACGCGCGCTCGTTTCCGTCACACAGCAACGTGCAGCGTAGTGATACTCGCAACCTTTGATATTCTCGCGCCCGATCCGCATGAACCAACGTGCCCGATTCGCGACAGAGGAGTGCAGAAACGCGACGCTCTACCCTGGCGAGTGAGACAACAGCGAGGCAACGACTTTCCAAGTGCAAAACTATCGTCGCATTTTTCAACCGCGACAGTGTTGTGTCTTCGCAGGCGCGGACTATTTTCTTGGTGCGCGCGGATGCACACCATGCGCATGCGTGAACCGTCATGATGCACCACCTGGCGGCGCGCATGGATAGTGCGTTACGACTATGTACGTACAGAAAAATGTATATAGTAAAGACTTAAGTAATGAGAAAATTAACCAATTACAGTCGATTATTTTTGGATCGTGTGCAAAAAATAATCAACTGTGGTTGGTCAGTTCACATGTTGCTTGAGTTTTAACAAGTTTTATGCTTTTGTGTGTGCCACGAAAGATCTTTGTCGTGCAGCGTGCGCAAAGATAACCGTTATGATGGAGGGACTTTTGATATGAAATATTCACATTGGGGTGAATTGCGAAAAAGTACTGACAATTGTCCTCCGGCAATAAAATAAGTATCCAGCGCTCGATCTATATCGTAAAATTTCGTATTTCTACTTCGGAGGGAATTGTCCTCCGAGTAAAATCAATTGAAAAATACAACCGGGATTAACAAGTTTATGTATACGTTAATTATAAACTGCCAGAGGGACTACCTATCCCTTCTTCTCTTTGTCTCAGAGTTGAAAAATAAATTCATATAAGGCATAAAAACAAGGCAAAGATACAAATGTTCGTGTTATTTTCGGTGTAGTCATCGACGAGACACCAATAAAGATTGGTGATCTTATGAGATTTGGAGTACCAGAGAAATCTCACTGAACGCCAACGCCCTCTTAGATATATCGTGGCTGAAATATGAAGCTGAATGGCCTGGAGGTAATTCAAGAGTCATGACAATACCGAAGATAACACGAACATTCCTATCTTTGTCTTGTTTCGATGCTTGTAGAATTTAGTTTTCAATTCTGAAGCAGAGAGAAAGGGGGAGAGGTAGACCCTGAGAATTTATAATTAACTTACCTAAGAAATATTCTTGTCTATATATTTCTTCTGTGTATTTTATATTTTTAATATTTTAGAATTTATTGTATTTTACAAAATGAGATATGTTACATACTAATTTCTTTTTATATAATTATAAAAAGTACGACATAAGCAGTAAGCAAACCAACCAATCACAATTGAGAATGTAAGCAGTAACGACCAGTAATTAGTTGATTTGCTTGGCTATGATCGTTTGATTTACTTACCGCTTAATATTTTTTTGCGTATTCCCTCGTCGCGTCAAGCGATCGAATATAATCGCGCGAGCTTCAAAGTAGGGACCATTGAACACTAGCTCTCACGGCGTTACAGTTCGTGCCGGCAAGCGATATACGCGTCGCCGATTATTTTATTCGTTTCGGTTGATTATCTTTTAATTAATTAGACTCTCGTGAATATTATCTTATTTTATATATACATATTCGCATCTACGCGAGCATTTGAGTTAGTGTTAGTGCTACTATCAGTGCAACGTCGGAGTAGTCGAATAATGCTAAGCCGAGAAACCAATCTATTGTTGTAACAGATGTAAAAAACAAATTCTTAAAAAATAAATATCATTTTGAAAATTATAATACAATTATCTTATTTAAACACCTTTTCTTTTAAACCGTATCCTTGAAAATTCCATCCCTATTGAAAATTGCAATTTTTAATTTCCCGCCGTATATTCATGTTACCTCTTCGGACATTATAATCCCCTGATGTAAAATGCGGAAATCGGGAAATTGAACAAAATTTGTAAATTTCCAAATTTCCCGCCAGAATTCAGGATACCTCTGCGATCATTATATTCTCCTGTTACAAAGTGCGAAAATCGAGAAAATGAGAAATTTTAAATTTCCCGTCAGAATCTGAGATACCTCCTCGGTCATTATATTCTCCTGTTACAAAGCGCGAAAATCGAGAAAATGAGAAATTTCATATTCCCCGCCAGAATTCAGGATACCTCCTCGATTATTATATTCTCCTGTTACAAAGTGCGAAAATTGAGAAAATGAGAAATTTCGAATTTCCCGCCAGAACTCAGGATACCACTTCGATCATTACATTCTCCTGTTACAAAGTGCGAAAATCGAGAAAACGAGAAATTTCAAATTTCCTGCCAGAATTCAGGATACCTCCCCGATCATTATATTCTCCTGTTATAAAGTGCGAAAATCGAGGAAATGAGAAAATTCGAATTTCCCGCCAGAATCTCAGATACTTCCCCGATCTTTTATTCTCCTGTTACAACGTGCGAAAATCGAGAAAATGAGAAATTTTAAATTTTCCGTCAGAATCTGAGATACCTCCTCGATCATTATATTCTCCTGTTACAAAGTGCGAAAATCGGGAAACCGAGAAATTCAAATATCCTCCAGAATCCGGGATACCTCCTCGATCATTATATTCTCCTATTACAAAGTGCGAAAATCAGAAAATGAGAAATTTTAAATTTCCCGCCAGAATCTGAGATACCTCCTCGATCATTATATTCTCCTGTTACAAAGTGCGAAAATCGAGAAAATGAGAAATTTCAATTCCGCAGAATCGGATACTCTCGATATTATATTCTCCTGTTACAAAGTGCGAAAATCGAGAAAATGAGAAATTTCAAATTTGCCGTCAGAATTCAGAATACCTCTTCGGTCATTATATTCTCCTGTTACAGAGTTCAAAAATCGAGGAAATGAAAAATTTCAAATTCCCGCCAGAATCTGAGATACCTCCACGGTCATTATATTCTCCTGTTACAAAGTGCGAAAATCGGGGAAACCGAGAAATTTCAAATTTCCGCCCGAATGCGGGATACATCCTCGATCATTATATTCTCCTGTTACAAAGTGCGAAAGTCGAGGAAATGAGAAAGTTTAAATTTCCCGTCAGAATCTGAGATACCTCCTCGATCATTATATTCTCCTGTTACAAAGTGCGAAAATCGGAAAACCGAGAAATTTCAATTTCCCTCCAGAATCCGGGGAACCTACTCAATCATTATATTCTCCTGTTACAAAGTGCGAAAATCGAGAAAATGAGAAATTTCAAATTTCCACCAGAATGCGGAATACCACCTCGATCATTATATTCTCCTGTTACAGAGTGCGGAAATTGCGAAAATGAGAAATTTCAAATTTCCCGCCAGAATTCAGGATACCTCCTCGATCATTATATTCTCCTGTTACAAAGTGCGGAAATCGGGAAACCGAGAAATTTCAAATTTCCGCCAGAATCCGGAATACCACCTCGATCATTATATTCTCCTGTTACAGAGTGCGAAAATCGAGAAAATGTTAAATTTCGAATTTCCCGCCAGAATCTGAGATACCTCCTCGGTCATTATATTCTCCTGTTACAAAGCGCGAAAATCGAGAAAATGAGAAATTTCATATTCCCCGCCAGAATTCAGGATACCTCCTCGATTATTATATTCTCCTGTTACAAAGTGCGAAAATTGAGAAAATGAGAAATTTCGAATTTCCCGCCAGAACTCAGGATACCACTTCGATCATTACATTCTCCTGTTACAAAGTGCGAAAATCGAGAAAACGAGAAATTTCAAATTTCCTGCCAGAATTCAGGATACCTCCCCGATCATTATATTCTCCTGTTATAAAGTGCGAAAATCGAGGAAATGAGAAAATTCGAATTTCCCGCCAGAATCTCAGATACCTTCTCGGTCTTTGTATTCTCCTGTTACAACGTGCGAAAATCGAGAAAATGAGAAATTTTAAATTTTCCGTCAGAATCTGAGATACCTCCTCGGTCATTATATTCTCCTGTTACAAAATGCGGAAATCGGGAAACCGAGAAATTCCAAATATCCTCCAGAATCCGGGATACCTCCTCGATCATTATATTCTCCTATTACAAAGTGCGAAAATCAAGAAAATGAGAAATTTTAAATTTCCCGCCAGAATCTGAGATACCTCCTCGATCATTATATTCTCCTGTTACAAAGTGCGAAAATCGAGAAAATGAGAAATTTCGAATTCCCGCCAGAATCCGGGATATCTCTTCGATTATTATATTCTCCTGTTACAAAGTGCGAAAATCGAGAAAATGAGAAATTTTAAATTTCCTGCCAGAATTCGGGATACCTCCTCGATCATTATATTCTCCTGTTACAAAGTGCGAAAATCGAGAAAATGGGAAATTTCAAATTTTCCGCCAGAATTCAAGATACTTCCTCAATCATTATATTCTCCTGTTACAAAGTGCGAAAATCGGGAAACCGAGAAACTTCAAATTTCCGTCAGAATCCGGAATACCACCTCGATCATTATATTCTCCTGTTACAGAGTGCGGAAATTGGGAAAATGAGAAATTTCAAACTTCCCGCCAGAATTCAGGATACCTCCTCGATCATTATATTCTCCTGTTACAAAGTGCGAAAATCGAGAAAATGAGAAATTTCAAATTTGCCGTCAGAATTCAGAATACCTCTTCGGTCATTATATTCTCCTGTTACAGAGTTCAAAAATCGAGGAAATGAAAAATTTCAAATTCCCGCCAGAATCTGAGATACCTCCACGGTCATTATATTCTCCTGTTACAAAGTGCGAAAATCGGGAAACCGAGAAATTTCAAATTTCTGCCCGAATGCGGGATACATCCTCGATCATTATATTCTCCTGTTACAAAGTGCGAAAGTCGAGGAAATGAGAAAGTTTAAATTTCCCGTCAGTATCTGAGATACCTCCTCGATCATTATATTCTCCTGTTACAAAGTGCGAAAATCGGAAAACCGAGAAATTTCAATTTCCCGCCAGAATCCGGGAAACCTACTCAATCATTATATTCTCCTGTTACAAAGTGCGAAAATCGAGAAAATGAGAAATTTCAAATTTCCACCAGAATGCGGAATACCACCTCGATCATTATATTCTCCTGTTACAAAGTGCGGAAATTGCGAAAATGAGAAATTTCAAATTTCCCGCCAGAATTCAGGATACCTCCTCGATCATTATATTCTCCTGTTACAAAGTGCGGAAATCGGGAAACCGAGAAATTTCAAATTTCCGCCAGAATCCGGAATACCACCTCGATCATTATATTCTCCTGTTACAGAGTGCGAAAATCGAGAAAATGTTAAATTTCGAATTTCCCGCCAGAATCTGAGATACCTTCTCGGTCATTATATTCTCCTGTTACAAAGTGCGAAAATCGAGAAAATGGGAAATTTCAAATTTCCCGTCAGAATTCAGAATACCTCCTCGGTCATTATATTCTCCTGTTACAGAGTTCGAAAATCGAGAAAATGAGAAATTTCAAATTTTCCGCCAGAATGCAGGATACCTCCTCGATCATTATATTCTCTTGTTACATAGTGAGAAAATCGAGAAAATGAGAAATTTCAAATTTCTGCCAGGATTCAGGATACCTCCTCGATCATTATATTCTCCTGTTACAAAGTGTGAAAATCGAGAAACCGAGAAATTTCAAATTTCCGCCAGAATCCGGGATATCTCTTCGATCATTATATTCTCCTGTTACAAAGTGCGAAAATCGGGAAAATGAGAAATTTCAAATTTCCCGTCAGAATTCAGAATACTTCCTCGGTCATTATATTCTCCTGTTACAGAATTCGAAAATCGAGAAAATGAAAAATTTCAAAATTCCCGCCAGAATTCAAGATACCTCCTCGGTCATTATATTCTCCTGTTACAAAGTACGAAAATCGGGAAACCGAGAAATTTCAAATTTCCGCCTGAATCCGCGATACCTCCTCGATCATTATATTCTCCTGTTACAAAACGCGAAAATCGGGAAAATGAGGAAATTGAAATTTCCCGCCAGAATCTGGGATATCTCCTTGATCATTATATTCTCCTGATATAAAATATGAAAAGTGAGAAAATGCATTTATATTTTCGCATTTTGTATCAGGGGAATATAATGACCGAAGGGGTAACATGGGGATGGGATTCTTAAAAATACGGTTTAAGAGGTATTTAAATAAAATAATTTTATTATTTATTTCAAAATGATATTTATTGTTTACGGATTTGTTGTTTACATGTGTTGGGACAAATATAACATAACGCAATATAATATATAAACAATAAAATATAATACAATTGGATACAATAAATATTTTACGATTTTTCAAGTACAATGAAACGGTAATTTTTTTTATGTCCTTATAATATTACCGAGTGATATATGCAAAGAATAATATAAAATTATAAAATAGAATCGACGCGTACATTGTTATCTACTATAAAGACATAAAAGTACCATTTTTTCACTTTATCTGGAAAAATCGTATATCATCGGTAGCGCAATTAAAACAGTCGGTATTGCCTTCGTCCTTCAATTACCACCGGGCTTCTTGAGGCCCCTTTGGCAATACGAAAATTTATCCAGGGCTGACAGTATTTAGTATTACCTCGTAAAAATCAATTGTTATTCCAAAGCGTAGTTCTAAAGTTTCCGTTATGGAGCGCCACTATCTGTAATATGAAGAATCGAGGTCATAATATGACTTACCACATTTGGCATTATATTCGTAATAAAAGCACAATTTAAATAATACATGGTTTTTTGTATATTTCTTATGAGTTTTTATATACGTTTCTATAGGTTCTTTTTGTTGGATTAGATCTATTTTAAAGTATGCAATTAAAATAAATCTTTCTTCACGCATAAAGATTATAATTACATTAATAATTATATTATTTCATACCACAATAATAATTATATTGTTTTTTTACTCTTTATATACTCTTGTACTAGTAAAAGTTTATTCTCTTGTATGTCTCATTTTTGTTCGACTGTAATTCCAATATAACTGAAGGAACAAATGTTTTAATCATATTAGAATAGTAGAAAATATATATGTAAAAATTTCAGTGCTTTTAACATTAAATTATTGAGCATAACCAATTGAGTTGGAATATTAAGGTATAATAATTTTTGTAGTTCCGCTTCAGTAATAATTTCCTTAAGCGATGTAATTACAGGATACCAAAAATACAATTTATATATAATTGCAGGAGGTAATAAATTATATGTTTATCCAATGTCGCTATAAACTATAATCAGGTTGTGCAGCAATATTCATTTAATGGTCATAATTGTCGTTTGATCGATATGCAAGATACGTCGTTCATGTATATCCTTCGTCATTCAAGGTTTCACGTATATAGACCTAGTTTATTATTAGCATATTCAATATTGAGAGAGAGAGAGAGAGAGAGAGAGAGAGAGAGAGAGAGAGAAGGGACAAGGGAAAGGAGACTAAATAAAACTTTACATATACAGATAAATAAATTTAAGACAAATATATGTATTACTTTTCTCTTTCTATCTTTTGTACTCGAACGATCTCACCAAAGCATGTAAAAAATAAAGAAGAAAAAGTAAAATTCTCAACATTGTAGAGAAATAAAGTCTCTAGCATATCTCAATTATACACAGAATCTGCGACTCTATCTCTTGAAAAAAAAACAAATTATATCTCGCTTCTTACATATTTACGAAAATCCAACTTTAGAATCATGTTACTCAACGAAATATCTTATCGTCGAAAGTTCCACCTATTTTCGAGTGACTATAGTCAATTAATCACCGATCAGCTTCATCCTTCGTGCTCCTTCGCGTTTGCACGTTGCTGGTGAGAGTATCTGTAAATTTACGACTTATCACGTAGAACAGAAACATCATACGGAACTACAGTGTTCGTTCGCGTATTTGAATTGTAGAAATGGTATTGGCGTGTTTAGAACTATCGCCAGCTGCGCATAATTCTCTGGGGGCGAGTTAACTCGAGATACTACTACATACTACATACTACATTTAAAATATCGTCTGACATATCGCGAATTGTCATGGAGAAGAGAGGAAAAAAAAACGAGCGGGAAGGACTCGAGAACGACGAAGGCGTGAAAAATTCTCAGCCGACCGGTCGTTTTAGTAGATTTAATGAAACGATATACAGAATACATTTGCTTTCGTAATGCATCGCAACGCATTCTCGCGTGCCTTACCATCTATATCACATGTCAATTTTTTATTTATAAAATATAATCATTATAATTTTTTTTGTTCTCATGTCTTGCCTTTAAACTGCATCCTCGTCATATATCGAAAGTATATATTTATAATATATATATATTTATTTATATATATATATTTGTATGTATATATAATATATTTATTCATTTATATGTATATATATATATATATATATATATTCATTTATATATATCTGTATTTATATATTTATATATATATATATTTATATTTCTTCATATATTTATTTATATATTATTTCAAGCAAGAGGAAACTGTGTGTGGCTCGGCACAGAGTTACAACGAATCAGGCCGGAAAGGTTTTATGAATGTGCGCGCGCGTGTATATATTTTCGAGTGTATGTGTGTGTGTGTGTGTGTGTGTGTGTGTAGCGTATTGTAATACAATATTGCACAGTAACATATACACGTGATATAATTCAATTTGTTGTCGCGCTCGACGGTCGTACAAGGATGAAAAGATCGTCGATCGCGCGCGCCAAGAGTATCCTCCTTTCGCGATTTCTTTATTGTCGCTCGTTCACCTGCCGCCACTTTCTCCCCGTCTCTTTTTCCCATTTTCCCTTCTTTCTCTCGCGCATCAATTGTGCAATTGTACAGGGGGCTCGGGCGACCTCGCAGCATATTAATTAATTCCGACTTTTCATCCCGTACAACTATCAACGCACCGACGTTTCCGTCGTTTCCTTCGACTTTCCCCGCTTCGTCTGCCTGCGCGATTAATACATTCGATCGTTCGCTTCGTATAAGATGCGACGTGTGACAAAGAGGAAGGAGAAAAAGATCGACGATATTAGAGTCGTCGTGCAAATACTTTTCCTACACTTACGTCAACACTGGCTGGCAGCCCGTTTTCACCATTTCTCTTGTGTGTAAAAGTACACGTGTGTACGTTTGTTTGTTCGTTTGCATTCATTTAGTAGATTTATTTTCGGTGCAACACTCATCCCTTATATATGCGTATGTGCTCAGCGCGTGTACATTGTGCCGCACATTTATAAACGCGAGCTTTTGGCCGAGCGTGCGAACGTTCGTACGACAGAGTGGTTCGTTGAAAATTAATTGGGAAATAAAGCCTTTCGTAATCGCGAAGAGGATCTAATATCTCGAAACGCGCGTGCAAATAAATCTGTCGGATTTATCGAAATGCGATATTTATTGCGAACCAATTAACTAATTTATATTGCACACCGCGTATCGGGTTCCGAAGATTATGCTCGCGGCTGAAATTTACAGAAAGAGAAAAAAATACGAACCGAATGTTTTACTTGTTCATGCGTCTCAACTATTTCGTTCTCGAGAACGAAGGTAACTCTGGAAGGCAATTCTGATTCCGACGGGAAACGCTTTCCTTCGACGCTAAAGATGAAAGCAAACTATATTTATCTGACATGTAAATGTTAACGTGTGTCGAGCATTTGTGCTGTTAGAAATAACACCGAGACAAACAGCTGTACTTGAAAGAGGAAGAAGATTTAATAATTAATAATCTCTGTGTATGTGTGCGTGCGAGAGGAACTCCGTCAGAGTCGGAAATCATCAATCGCGAACTATTGACCGGAAAATTGAAAAGACTTCGGAAATGAATACAGCGCATCGTGTGACTTATGTGAATGGTTTTCTTTTTCTTTCTTTCTTCTTCTTTTCGTGATTACCTCTTTGACGAAGAATCGACAGTTTCCATATAATTTTCACGGACACGGGACACTCTATGTGCACACGAACGCACGCCGCTTCGCTAGCCGGCGATAAATTGCCCTCGAATGAACTCAAGTTGCAATGTGTGTGTCTGTGTGTGTCGATCGAGAAATAATTTATTAACAAAACTTCGGAGAGAATTAAATAAATCTGTTGATCGAACATTTATTGTATACATCGATGAAACGGGGAAAGGGGAATTTACACCTAACGGAATTGACTGTTATTTCGTTACAGCAATGACAGATAATCGGTTAAACAACAATGTCAGGACAATCTCGTTCGTTTTGTCGCGAGACAGCGACACCACTTCCGCTATAATCATGCCCGAACGATCCTGCCCTTCCTCCTGCTCCTCGCGTATATCCTCCTCTTTCTCTTTCTCGCCTGTTCTCCCTTCTCGCTATGACAATTTCTCGTAAAAAATAATTCACCGCAGCGCTGGGTCCAGGGACGATTTTTTCGCGATCAGGAGCGGAAGACACATCAGTCTCGCGCTCATTTTCGCGCGGACTCTCGTTGAGAGAAAAAAAAAAAAATATATATATATATATATTTATACATAGTTATATATATGTATGCGTAGGAACAAAAACACACGTCGCCTCGAATCCGTTCCACCCTCCGCCTGATGGAGGGTGGAAAACTTGGGGTTTCCTCGTTCTCTAGTTGAGCCCTCTGCGAAATCTCGAATTCTCGATCTCGATCCTCATCTGACCGATGATAACTCCTCTCCCGAAATCTCCACTGGACTCAACACTTTATTCGCACGGACGAAATAGTCGATCCCCTGTGTTCGAGGATCCCGTCAAAAGATGAAACTTGATATGAGAAGAAGGTAAGGCGAATATATCTCGAGCGAAGCGCGCTCGTCCTCGAGAATTCCGATCGCGTCGGAGCATTTCTTACAAATATGAAAAACGATTTATACGTCTCGTTTGTTTTTATATATATATATATATATATATATATATATCGCGACAGATCGGTACCAATGCGCGCTCTTCGAGATCTCTCGTTCTACAGTCGATACAAAATTATTATCTTTATCGCAATTATCAAAATTAGTATTTTCATCTCAATTTCACCTCTCATTGTCATCTTAATCAGATTCCTCTCTCAACTCGCTCAACTGGTCCATTATTGATTATACTTGTCTTCGCGCGCGTGGAGGACGGAGAAAAATATTTATATTTACCGAGAAACTGCGATTTCGCGAATATCTCAGGCTCGAGCCTTAACGAGTCTTCCCTCTATATGCCTAGAGAAATATTTGTAACGATCTCTCGTAAAATTATGCTGAGAGACTTCGCGTATTCTTAAGAGGTATTCATTTTTAGAAATCCTAAAGGCTTTTTTAGAAATCCTACAGATTCACCAGCGGACTTTGACGTCGGTACGTCAAACGACTCTAGTCTTTGCCTTTTCGTATATACCTTTAAACACCCTCGACGAATTCGTAAAAACTGTGTGCCTCCGTCTTTCTGTCCTTACAAAATATCCTGGCGAGGCACGGGTACCGATTTGTCATTTTTTTAATAAGAACTTCCCTACCCTTATTGCTATCGGCTTCGCGGCGCGAAACGGCTTTCCCCCGGCGAGAACACACAAACAAACGCTTCCGAATGTTTATATCTCTCGCGCACGATCCTCGAACAGAGAAACGGAGCCGACGCTTTTGCCCGTGTTATCCTAATTTCGATCGCAAGGGTCGCCCAGCCTCTGCACCCTCGGATCCTGTTTACCTTGCATTCTTACCGGGCATTTTGTCTTTTTGAACACTTGCACGCGTATCCATCCGCAAACGTTGGCGCGTTTAGTGAGTAGTAACCGGCATACACGGTGAGAAACGTTCTCAGAGACGCGCCGGGTTTTCCTTTTCCTTCGCTCTCGCTTTTCACGGTGGGGCGGTGAGAGGGGGGAGGAGAGAGGAATCTAACGCGTCGTCCGTCGTGCGTTTGAGATTTTTTTCACGGCGATATCGGTGAGTTTCGCTCGTGAGAAACGGGATTTTGTCGCGCCCCCTCGTAATTGCAACATTAAGTAGATTGGGATTAAAATTAAGCCGTTATCGCGTGTGCTTACACGCGCGCGACGTTAATGCGCACAATGTTGCAAAAGATATCGCGCTGATATCGGCCACTATAACAGCGACCGTCCGTTGCGCTCGCCATGTGTGATAAGCTGCGTCACGCTGGATATGTCACGCGTCGGAAGATGTTTTTTTCGTAATGCTGCTCTGCGAAGCGTTAAAAACTGTCTTCGGAATAGCGTCTTCCTCTCATAACATATATTGACAAATCATATATATATATATATATATATATATATATCATATATGTGCCGCGAATCTATAATATTCTGTGACTTTCTTGGATTATAAGAACGAGCGGATATTGAGGCAAGAAAAATCTCGTTCCGTTGCGAAGGTGTCGGCGCGGTGGCCATGGCGAGGTCCGGAACGCCGCTTCTTTGTAACAATTATTTGTAATAATTATTAACACGTAGTAATAGCACAATTACTGGTTAATCCTTCGCGGCCAATGTTGCTTCACGTGTTTACACTCAAGGTTTACAATCAAGCGTCATCGCGCATACGGTCGAACGTACTTTGTTCCTCCGGATTTGCGTAAAAGGGAACTTTCCTCGATTCGTCAAATTAATTACGTTCAGCTGTGGACTTATCTTGGCGCGGGGAGCGATATCTAAATTTTCCAGGCCGCAAAGCATTAATTTTCTTTTTTCTACGTCAATAACTAGAATAATTCTCAAAGTGTCGCGCGATGGCTCTCGAAGGAATCGGGGCGGTCGCGCTCAGAGTCCTGAAACAGGAACGACTTCCGCTTCCAGCGACGAGACTGAGCGCGCGGCCGCGAACCTCCCTCCATGTAACTTCGCTACGTAACATCGCTTAAACGAAATACACAAGAGAAACGTTAATTCAACGAATCACCATGAAACGGAGAACCGCTGACGAAGGACGGAATCGATCCGAGTGTCGATTCCGTTGAATGCGCGAGGGGGCGTCGTACGTTTGCGGATGTACCACGGCTTTAGATTAACATATACACACGTAATTATCGTAACTATTGTGCACGTATAGGTAATTAATGTGATTTCTGTGTGTTTGTTTGTTTGTTTGTTTGTTGCGTATTTGTTTATCTGTGTGTGTGTGTGTGTACGTATTTGTGTGCCTATATGTGGATCACGGCGTGAGGACAATGCCTGATCTGTCGAGTTACGGATCGCGTTGCGATAGCGGCGGTGGTTATTGTAAGATTGCACTGGTAGAGGTAACTTTGCACCGAACACAGAAAGAGATTTCATTGTTCTCCTCTCGACGCGAATGACTTCAACGAAGTCTGGGAAGATAAACAAGAGGAAGTAACTATATGAACGTTAACGCGAAAGATTATCTTTCTAAATCGCATTGCTCCTCTCGGTACAGTGCGTTTTGTACATTGGATTTTAATGAAATAAACTTGAACTTTAGTATGTCGATTCCGGATCGTTACCAGGAATGATTTTGCAGCGTAATTAGTCGGGCCAAACAATGAAACTGTACTCGTACGTCGCGGTAAGCTGAGAGAGAAAGAGAAACAGAGAAACGTTCTTGCCCGAGAACTTAAAGGATCAAGCTAAAAGAGACTGAGCGAGAGAAAGGATGTTTCAGAGCTGCCACATTGAAATCCGAAACTTAAGTAATTAATCGCAGGGTCTCTTTTCACTGTGATGCAAAGCTATCGTCGGCGATGCGATCTTACCTTACGATACTTTTACGGTATTTGAACGTGGATAAAATATCGAGATATACACTGAAAACAGAGATGCGTGTCGACTGCGGTGATTTCACCGGCGAAGACGCTCGCTTGAAGAGATCCGACCAGCATCCTCTGTCGTCTGTCGAAGGCGTCGCTCGAAGGGCACTGAGGGTACAATGAAGGGCGTTTTAACGATGACAACAATGACGACGACGACGGTGGCTACGACGACGGCGACGACGGCGACGGCGACGACGGCGACGGCGACGGCGACGACGACGACGACGACGACAGCGACGACGAAGCTTACTGTAGCGAGACAATGGTAACACAAGGTGGTAGTAAAGGTAGCGCTGGTAACAGTGGTAGTAGTGGTAGTAACGTCATAGAGTAGTAACGCTATCAATGAGTAGTAATAAGTAACGATATAGTAAAGTAGTAGTTGTAATAGTTAAGTAGTAGTAGCGGCGCGTTATATACGTATATAAATAGGACACTCTACGTTAGTTTGATTAAAAGTAAATGTCATAACGTAATAGGTAACTTTAAGCCGGACCCGCCTCGCCGTCGCGCAAGACGCTCTCTCTTTCTTCCCGGCCCTCGGACGAGGCGGACCCGTGTTGTTCGCCTTAGCTCTCTAAAATCACATTAAACGCAAGAGTAGTGGTAAAGAGTCGATCTCGACATCGACCATCGCGCCTCGGGCGCGACGCTCCAGCGACGTTGACGATGATGCCGAGTGAGTTTCGCGGGCACGATAATGCCAAAGGGGAAGGAGTTACGTGTGCGAATTGCGGGCTCGAAAGTAAAATTACTAATTTCTCGATAAACCGGTCAACGATCGATGAGAGAGAGAGAGAGAGAGAGAGAGAGAGAGAGAGAGAGAGAGAGTGTGAGTGTGTGTGTAAGATGTGTAAAAAGTGTCTATAAAAATACTACGATTAAAATATACATCTAGTAGAGCAGCTCTTCCGACTTCTCTACAGTCTCATTTTTAGCTCATAAGAAAGTAAAGGCGCCTCTCCCAACTTATTTTTCATCAGCAAATGGAGACGCCCTAAGGATGCATACTGCACGAGCCGCGTATACTACAGCGCCTTCGAAGAGCGCGTTAACTCGCGGCTCTCCCGTTCGTATTCCAGTCCCCATCGGCGCGAATATGTTTCGTCGCCCTCGCGAATGTCGGCTCGACTTGAAGATCCAAAGGACACGCGAGTGACGTAATCACGATCTGAACGAGAAGAATAAGCAGAGAATGAATATCGCGGCGAGGGACGCGTAAACGCGCGGGTTTCAGACAGGCGCGAGCCTCAGACGAGACTAAGCGCCACCGACGACGTACATCCCTCGGCATGCGTCTCCGCACTCGGCATCGTCGTCCGACGTTGTCGTGTGAGCGCGACCGAATATAGTCACATCCTACGTGTCTACTGTCAAGACGGGAGAGCCGATGAGACGAACAAGAGTCGTCGGTCGCACCCTCCCAGCCGTTGCTCTGATATGTTGCGGATCGCCAATGCGTTTCCTCGCGATGGGCAAGGTATTGCCGAAGGTAATACACGTGATTGAGAAGTGGCGGGTCACGCGCGTCGGCCGAGCAAGCGAGCGAGTGAGCGAGCGCGTTTACGTGCGTACGTGAGTGCGTGCGAGCGTATGCATGCATGCGTGCGTGCGTGCGTGCGTGCGTGCGTGCGAGCGCGTGTGCGCCCACACGCGGAGAGCCTCGTACAAACTAGGTAGAAAAGTGAGAAAAATCCGCGTTCCTCGCGCGGTGGGCCCACGAGAGGAGCCCCTCCTTCCTGTCCACCCGAGTCCGCACGAAATCTACAGCTAGAAGAAAAAATAGAGCGAAACGCCACGATACGCCGTCCACGGCTGGCTCGCTCGCTCGTACCTCCCGTTTTCCGCCCGCGCCCGCTTCCGCTCGCGATATCACCGCGACCGCGCTGCACCGCGCGAGTCCGCCGCCGGAGCCGCTACCGCGCGTCGCATCACTCGCGGTAACCAGCGACGGTCCTTGATGGGACGATGGTAGCAGCAGCGCCGGCGACGGCGACAGCAGCAGCAGTAGCAGCGATGATAGTAGTAGCGATGGTGCACTTACTACTAGTAGCAACAGCGGGCGACGTGTGACATCCACCACGTCGCGCGGGTGCAGAGACCTGCGTTCAGGCGTTCTTCTGCACCCGCATTCGCGCATAATATATCCTAACCACACGCACACGCTCATTCGCATGTACACGCATTCGCTCGCTCGCCCAATTGCTCGTTCACCCCTTCTCACTCATACGTACGTACAATAAACTTTCCCTTAAAATTAGCGTTCACGTGGAATTTGCGCCGATGACCTCCGTCCGCGCCCATTCGACCAGTTCCATGATTCATTCTTTCCTCTCTCCTCTCTCTCTCTCTCTCTCTCTTTCTCTCTCTCTTTTTTTCTCGTCCTATTCAATAAGACCCTCAAGGTGCTTCTCGGAAGCGGAGTGAAAGCTGTCGCCGGGGCGTCGTCGAGGTCCGAGCGTAACTCCACGCGTCCGCAGGAGGTGTCTTACATGTAAGAGGAGAGTAAAGCTACGTGTGTACGAACTAAAAAAAGGATGCAATCAGGAGAAAGATAACGCAACCGCGCGGGTCTTGAAGATAAGTAATTGTTCTATGTGCTGGCAAGCCGTAGGAGGCCTCGGCTCGGAGGGCGATTAGAAGGGCAAGCTACCGACGAACATCGTCTCGATCAGAGGCGGCGCCGGCACCAGGTCCTCCAGCTTCAGGTAGAAGATCCGCTGGAGGCCCTGGACCGAGAGACTCCTCAGCTCCGGTAGCTTCCCCAATAGGTAGGACAGGTACTGCGACTTTCTCTGCGCTTCGGCGTTGTAAGTCACGTGGTCGCGCAGGGACGAGATGATCTTCATCTGCAGCTGCTCCATGCGCTGCGGCTCCTTCAGCCCGTACCTCTCTGAAAGCACACGCGCCAGCTTGAGTGACGTGGCCGTTGCGGCGACATGAATTCGCGAGGTTCATCGAGATTCGCCATTGGGACTTTATCGTTAAACTCTCTACGCCGAAATTACTCGAAAGTCCGAGCGGGTTTACACCTCGCGATAAATTCGTGAGACATCGCGCTGATGTCATTAGAGTTGCGCTATTGACGTTGGAAGTGAAGGACCCGGCGCATCAAGTCCGTCTAATATCAATCATGGCAGTGTTCGATGCGGCTCATCGATCGCAACATCGGGAGACCGCGATTGAACGCCCTTGCAGGCTGCACACCTGCATCGGCCGCCGGCGGATCGCGTGCAAAGCGCGGAGCATCGTCGTTTCTTTCGTCGGAGCATCAATAACTGATCGAGCCGACGAATTAATTATTTACCCCGTAGACAGGCCGATGTAACTAGAGTGCAGAGCGCGGAGTGCAAAGCGGCGGAAGAAAGACCGAAAGAGTGGTGTTGCTGTTGCACGAACGTCGAAGGGCCGCCGCCGGCGACAGCAGGCGGCGGCGGCGAAGAGGCAACGAAGAAGTGAAGGTGGCAAGTCTCGCTACGCTTAATTGCGCAATTAATATTTATATATGTAGCGGTGGCGATTGGCCGCGTCATGCGCGTCGATCCGCTTAATTCTACAATTAACACGGCGACGAGCGGACGAGTCGATTGAACCGCGCGGCGGAAAAGGCGGCCAAAGAGAAATGCACTGACCGGTGACGAGGGTGAGGGCGCACAGGCAGGCGAAGGCGCTGATGTCGACCTCCAAGAAGTGAAGGGCCTTGCAGAAGTCGAGGATGCTGTGCAGCCAGTCGCCGAAACTGCGCTGACATTGCTCGAGCGCGAGGACGACGCCGTTGCAGAACACCAGCTTCGTGTCGTCCGGATTCGTGCGGTACGCCAGCCTCAGCACGAACAGCTCCAGACTGGCCGACTGGAACAGCAGTTCCTGAAACAACGGGAGTCGCAGCGCGGTATTAATAATAGGCGCAGAGCGTTGCGCACGGATAAAACGCGATGAGACGCGATGACGAATGTCCTCGTTCTTTCTCCCTCGGGTAATCCGCGATACGAAGCGGCGACGTGGTGACGTAGTGCACACATGCGCCAGGCTAACGCGAGAAATAAATGGCACCGCGGCCGCCATCGACGTCGTTTATTAACACGTTGCGCACCAGCGTCATTCCGCCGATTGATTCATTGAGCGTTCGCTTGTCAACGGAATAATATCCACCTTAGACGGACAATAACGGCCCGAGACGGCGAAATGTCCGCCGGCAGCGACGACATATTAACAAATTAACGTCTACCGTTCGACCACGAGCGGCCTACCAGACAGCCTAGCGGCCGGTCGCGTCGAAAGCTCGTCAAGATTGACCTTTTAGAAAATGTATGAGCTATCGATCTCTATAACCGTTGGTTCCCAATGGATATCGCCCGAGACTCCATATCCGATCATGATATCGCTGCTGGCTATAAGACTGGCGCGCATCTCGACGAGGAAGGAAGACCACGTAGAAAAGGAAGAATCGATGATAGACTCGCGGCGTGTTTCCGTTTTACTTGATCGAAACTTCAAAATGGTTTGGTGTAAGACCTCTGAAAGGTACACGTCCCATATTTATCTTATTAACATGTATCCTTGTTCTAAATTTTGTATATTATCAGCTGTGACTAGTTTCAAGCAAAATTGCAAGACGCAGTAAATACTGAAGCACCATAATTCCACGTGTCATTCACCGACTTTTTGGAAATTGATGCTTGATATCAGATGTCTATTCGTTAGATCCGTGTGCTTATGCTAACTTCCTCAGAGAGAGAAAGAGAGAGAAGGTAACTGTCGATAAAAAACAAAAACGAACTGTCGTGTCCATCAAACTGAATGGCACTTCAGTCATTCCTGAGAAAGTATCAAAAACAAATCAAAATCTTTCCATGAATTAGAAAAATATAACGCAACTGAGAAATTTTAAGTGTTTAAGTTTTTCAACAAGATCAATGTGTATTTGTAACACGTGTACTATTAATTTAATAATTTATGTTTACTCGGCCTCACAATTGGAGCGTTCATCGTAATGGGAATTTTTCTTTGGGAAGCCATCGAACTTTTGTAATACTTGTACCAAACAATGAATACGCCACGAAGGGACGTATCGTTTAAAGCTACCGTCTCACCTGATCTTCCCGCACTAGATCCGTGAAACCGGGGATTTTGTCGGCAAAGTTCCGGATGACGTCGATCGAAGTCGTCAACAAATTGTAGAACTGCTGGATCTTCTCAGCCTCGGTGATCGGGGGATCACCTGGTCTCGGTTGCCGATACTGCGAGTAGTCGAGGCTCGCCTTGTCGGGAGTTGTGTCGAGATGTGCGCGCACCAGAGCGGTGATCAAGGAAACCGGCGGACTCGGCGGGGATTCTTGCGGGGATTTGGGCTTCGAGGGCAGCCTACCTCGCCGGCCCTTCAGAGAATCTGTCCTAACGACCTGCCCAACAATCATCGATCGCTTCTTAATCTCACGCTTTTATAATTGTCTCTGAAAAGATGTAACTTTGGCGGAAATTCGGAATCTTAGGAGAAAACTAATTTAAAGTACTAAAGAGGATAACAACATCGAGGATATATCAAGACATTTTTACTTAGTCTAATCTTGATTGATTTAATTGATCCTATATCTCGCTCATATCTATTTTACATTTGCCTTCCCGTCTCAATTTTTAACGCGACGCTGTCATCGTTATCTTTGTGTGAGAAAAATTTCGACACGTGCAGTCTTCGGTGATTTGATCCTCTCTCTCTCTCTCTCCCTCTCTCTCTCTCTCTCTCTCTCTCTCTCTCTCTCTCTCTCGCGAGATATTACTTTATTTTAATTAAATCAATTTCTATAATCAATTGCACGTCACGAAAGTCCGATATAATTCGGCGAATCCTGGCGCCGCTCGTGAATATTTGCCCTGTCGTCGTTCTTTACATTATTCTAATCGATCGACCTTATCCTCGAGTGATTGTCCGGTGCAATTGACTTCGCGGGGGATAGTTTCGGCGTTGAGTAATGTCACACGCTACCAACCTCCTTGACCATGCCGACCACCAGGCACTTCTGGAACCGGCAGAACTGGCAACGGTTTCGCCGGCGCTTGTCCACCGGGCAAGCCTTCTCGGCTAAGCACACATACTTGGAGCCCTTCTGCACGGTCCTCTTGAAGAAGCCCTTGCAGCCCTCGCACGTGCGCACGCCGTAGTGCTGGCAGGCCGCGGTGTCGCCGCAGACGGCACAGAGCTGGCTCGGACTCGGGGGCGCGCGTTCGCCACCACTGGTGCCGCTTCCGGGCGACGGCGAACTAACGGAACTCGCGGTGCCGCCGCTGCCGCTGCCGCGTGGCTTCGGGGACTCTGTGCTCCCACTACTGTTAACATGACACAGGCCGCGCATTGGTCTACAAGCCGTCGTTACACTTCATTCCGAAACTACCGCGTCGCGTCTCGTGCTTCCCCTTCTCCTCCTTCCGAAAGGGAGTCATTACTGCGTACTCCGAATATTGCTGTGCCGTCATCAGACGGCAAGTACGAAAGCAAAACTGAGCGATCGAGGGAGTCAACTCAAAATCGAAGAGATCTGTCAGCTCGGTCAAGTCATCATCTCTCTCTCTCTCTCTCTCTCTCTCTCTCTCTCTCTCTCTCTCTCTCTCTCTCTCTCGAATCTTAGAGTTAAGTTAGAAACACCGTAAAGCGATACACTTCAGTACTCCCTCCCCTCTTTAAGAACGAACTCGACTGGAACGACTGAAGTTACCGATGGACTCTAATAACTAACTCGAGGAGTCGAGACAGCCCGACAGGGTTTCTCGCTTTTCTCGCACTAGAAGAATGCGCACTAGAAGAACCGACTCAAGCGAGGAGCAATGGGTGCTTCGAGACCATCTTCGGTATCCCTGCTAGGGGGAAAAAGTCTCACCTTGCCGACTCTGACCTTTGAGTGGGCAATGACGCCCTTCGCGATCGAGCGGTGCCGACTACGACGGTGTCGACGTTGGGACAGAGATCGGTGGGAGCGGCCACGGGAGCGGCGACGTTCGCAATGGCCGTGGGCGCTCCGTAAACCATTGGCATGGTCACAGCGACCCCATAGGATGACTCCTGTCGGTGATTCGAGGGCGGAGCGACCGCCGTAGCCGCAGCCGGCGCCGTTTCTGCGGAGAAGTAGCTCTGGTGGTGGTGCGGGGCCTGCTGCTGTTGCTGATGGTGCTGCTGCGAGTGGTGGTGGTGGTGTTGCTGCTGCGGTTGCTGTTGGCCGTGGTGCTCGTGGTAGGACACCGCGGCCGTGAAGTCGGTCGGGTAGTGAGTGGCGCACGAGTACACCGGGTTGTCGTAGCATTCCTCGTCCATCTTGATGCCGAGGCCCTGGAGTTCCTGTCTGGTGTATCGCTGCACCGTGTAGGTCTCCTGGAAGCTCGGCAGGGGTGTAGGACTGCGGATCAAAAAGATTGTCGCTAAAATAATCGCGCAACTGCTGTATTTTGAGATGTAAGCACACCGTACTGACAACATCGATGACGACGGAGTTGGACGACAATTGAGTCGAGGCGGAAGGATCGCGATGAAGATGACACGCCACTCTAATAAAACGTTGCTCGACAAATCGTCGTGAGAGTTGAAGTTCGCTGGTGTCAGGATATCACAAGTTCAGGAAGAAACCACGTACCTAAGGGAGTCAGCTTGAACGTCCTCCGGAAGGGGTGGTGGTGGTGGTGGTGGCTGCGGCGGTTGCTGGTGATGCACACTTTGCTGAGACTGAGCAGATTCGTCGACCGTAGGCACGCCTTGCGGATTACCGAGCTGCAGTTCCGGGAAAGGATCCAGTTCCTCGGACAGGCTCCCGGCATCCGCAGGATCTGTGTAAGGAGCGCTCAGCAGATCCGCAAAACTGCTACATCCGAACGGACTCTGCAATCAAATGAAGCCGCGCGGCCGTGTTTACAGATCGCGTCGCACGACGGTGATGAGAGTGAATTCGATACAGTGAATAAAATTTCAGCGATACTTTTTTTCAGGCACGGCAGAGCCGTGCGAGCGAAAAGAATGTTAAACAGCTCGACGAAACGGCAGCAGCAGTCTCCAAATTTATGTGTCGCATAAAATTTAGCGAGATACGCTAAACAATAAAAAAAAGTATCGCGTCGCCGAAAGGACGCGTCGCAAGAACCAGAAAAATAGACGGTGGACCGAAGAGGAGCGGAGGAAGCATAAACAGAAAATAACCGCGTCAGGCGAATGCTAATTCGAGCGCCACGTGTTAGCGGTGCAGATTTTGCGAATCTCCTCTCTCGAAATTACGTACCGGACAAGCGAGAATCGACTATTGACTTTAAACACTGCTCTGCGTTCTCCTCCTCCGGCGGAGCCGTTACGGTCTCCGGAGAGCCGTGCGAGCGGCAAATCGAAGTGCTCAACTGCAAGGCGGAAACATTGTTCGACCACAATCGCGAGCCGCGTCGAGACATCGATGTACAATCGAGGTGCGCAGTGAGGATGTTCGGGAGAGGATTGGATAAGGCAGACTCGTATCGCGTGTTGTCTATAAGCTAGCGTTCGATAGAGCCTTAGACTCTCTCTCTCTCTCTCTCTCTCTCGCTCGCTCGCTCGCTCGCTCGTTTTCCGCGTCCTTCCTCACCCACCCCGTCGCTCCTCCTTCAATCATTGATAGCCGATAGTCGATAGACGGTAAAACACTAGGCGGCCTGGCGATTAAATATTCGCGCGCGCGGCATCAGGCTACTAATACTAATACTAATAAACAACGGTCAGTGCTGTGATACACTTTGCAGATCGACTGATCGAGCGAGCTTGACGATGATGCACGTCGCGAGACGCTATAATGAATTACACCCGGCCGGCCATGAAATATTCAAACGGCGGCCGCTCATTCAGCTTTCGAAATTAACGATGTGGGTTTATCTTCTTCGCGGCGCTCGCGCGCGCGCGCGCGCGACTTGGATTTGCGTGATCGCGCAACAGCGTACTTTCTATTCCTCTTGTGAAACAGGTCTGCCGAATTTTACATGATTAATGCGCGTCCCCGTCTCGGCAGCTACGACGAGAGGAGGGAAATGCGCGTACGTAATAGAAATCGCGTGATGTAATGCCAAACACTCCGGTGCAGATTTTGCATTCGTATCGAGAGGTGTTGGCATACGCGCGAGAAGCGTATCTCCCTCGATGACATACGCTGACTCACCAATAGCTCCACTTCGTCATCGTAAACGCTTCCGGTGTTCCGACGAACATCTCTCGAAGATCAAGACGCGGTCGCAGGAATTCGAATTAACCCACGCCTGTGTTATCCGTGTTAAGAGACGAGAATGAAAACAAAAGGAAACAAAAGTACCGTCGCTACAGGACATCCTGCGGCGAGTAGGGGGAGGAGGAGGAGGAGGAGGAGAAGGAGGAGGAGGAGGAGGAGGAGGAGGAGGAGGAGGAGGAGAAGGAAAGAGCGAGCTAAGAGATAGTAACGCGAGAAAGGGGGCCGGGTACGGTCGAGGGTGGATATTCAATTTGCAAGCGCCGGTTCCGCTTCGGGCTGACATTTCGCTCATCGCTCCCCCGAGGACCCCGACGATCGAAGCCTCGTCCTTCTGGATCGTGAATAAATGGCCTGCTAAACGGCGTCCTAAAAGCGGCCCCCGACCCCTCCGCTCCCCCCCTCTCCGCTCTCGGCCCGTAAACCGCCGAGACAACGTCCCCGACGTAGCCTCGCTAATCTAGCGACATGTTCTCGTTTTAGCGCTTAATTGGCCGCGACGATGTTTCATCCACCGCGGAAAGAAGTCCAAATGAGGGAGGCAGGAGGAAGAACGAGGAAAGGATGGGCGGCAAGGAGAGAGAGAGAGAGAGAGAGAGGGAGAAACAGGTAGGACGAAGCTCGGCATCCGGGTGTGCGGAATGCAGATTACGCGTGATAAACGCTGATGACGAGTCCGCGAGACGTAGGAGGGTGAATCTTGTTAGCGGGCCAAGCAGAGATCGCGCGCCGTGAAATCCGAGAGACCTCTTCCCTCTCTCTCTCTCTCTCTCTCTCGCTCTCGAGAGAGTTGACAAGAATTGGATTAACCATCGGGATCGCGAGCGGCGCGATAATTTCGAGCTGGACGCGCGCAGACGAAGGGAACGACGGCGGCCTCTCACGCTTTCGATTTCGATAAGAGAGGATCGCACGATAACGAATGACAGAGGAGGGAAAAGGTGCTCTACCGTTACATGGAATGTCCTGAAGGAGAAGCTGAGCGGAGGAGGATGAGAGAAAAAGACGACGATGAATGTTAGAAGAGCCGAGCACTCTATTTTCAAGCGGCTCTCTCCCAGACATCCTGTTCTCCCCCGGAAATCGTTTATTCGACTTGGGTACATAACGTCGAGTTAGGTCCGATCGGCTCGCTTAATTACGTAACATTGAAAAAGCGGAGCAGCCGTAATAAATCAGAGGCGTCCGAAGGCGCGAGAGTCGCACGGTAATAAAAGTTACGCCGCGGATCGCCGGTAAATTAGTTGAAACGCGATACGCCGCCGCTCGCGAACTTGCCGTCTCTCTGCACGAGAGAGAGAGAGAGAGAGAGAGAGAGAAAGAGAGAGAGAGAGAGAGAGAGAGAGAGAGAGAGAGAGACATTGCACGTCCATATTTCTTACGAGGTGTTCTTCTTGGAATTATTTATGCGGGATGAGATGAGATGAGATATGAGCGGTTATACGGGCGAATATTATTACGTAAAATTACAACTTACGTTGCGTCACGTCGGCATGCAAACGCGGTGGCTTCAGCAGCACACGCCGCTCAATTGGCACGACTACACGCGCGGGAATCTCATAATGCGCGGATGACACATTTCCGAATATTCAAATTTCTCACGAGGTTTTCTTTCCTGTTATTTATCACTTATCCCCTCAGTTCCGTTATTTACCGTCATGATAATTCATGCGTCACCTTGACTTTTCTCTCACCATCCCTCTGACATCTTTCGCCTCCTTTGCGAACTCGTCGATGAACCGACGGAGGTCGCGAGGTCCAATGAAGAAAGGGAAGGAAGAAGGAAAGGAAATGTGTGAAATAAAAGTTTGATCGAAATAACGGCGCGATAACGGTGAACGGACCAAGCGAGCTTTGATCGGCGGGAGACAGAAGAACCTCCGTTTCTTCGAGCCGAATTCGTCGCTTCACCGTAAAGAGAAATCCTATTTCTTTTTACATTAATTTCTTTGTCCATTAATTCATGTTAATTCACAGTTTCGGTCTGTTTTCCCCCACGAAAGAAGAACTAACCTGCGTCTGCAAGAGAAGCATGCTTGATGCCACCGTGAAGGCGGTCGTGGTCGTGGTGATGGACGATTGATTGGTGCAGGCGAGAACCGGAACGGTAGCTGTCGCCTGACGTTGCTGCCGTTGGCGATGCGGCTGTTGCTGCTGCTGTTGCTGCTGCTGTTGTTGCTGCTGTTGCTGTTGCTGTTGCTCTACCTCGCTGCGAGTAACAGCCACCGCACGCTGGCTACCGTTGCTGTTGTCGCTGTCGCCGTTCGGCGAATGCAGTTGCCCTGCAACATTGAAACGAGCACCTTTGATCATCATATCTTTTATATCACTCGATAAAGAAGATAAAACGGCGAAGAAAAGATGCTCCTTAGGTGGATAAAATATTAAAGACGCTGCGCATGTTGCACTTCATTAATGTTAGTGTAGCAAAATGAGATGGCAATATTGGACGGCATGGTGGAATAAAATGCAAAGCACGCGTGCATCTGAAATGCACGTTGCCCTTCCGCGTCAATAACGAGAACTTTGAGCACCGAGAACTGATGAGCACAATGTACGCGCAGCTTATCCTCAAGTGTTAGAGAACATGGAGGACGGTGCATATCGCGTATTCATTTGCACCCGATGAGGCAAAAACGGAGCGCGCAACCTCGTTTCTCGTGTGCGGGAAAAAAAACTTTCTGACGTGCAATTTCAAACGACACGCCGGGTGTGCGGAGGGTGCAGCGGGGCTGTTGTTTCTATCGCGTTTAATATTGATTCTCAGCTTTCTATCGTCGCGTACCGCGCGCGCGCTTCCTGCGCCATTAAGCGTAACTCGGCCATTCCCGGACGTTTAAATCTCCACTTTGCCGAGTATATTTATTACACGATAGAAGGAGAACTCTGTCGCGTACGCGGTACGACGGTAAGATCTTTCCTCCTCGCACTTATATTCCCGCATTTCTGACATTTAATTACTGAATGTCTCGCATAGGGTAGGAAAGAAGGATCTCCTAGTCGAGAGAGAGAGAGAGAGAGAGACCGTTACATCTCTCGGACGTTCCAAGTATTACATAATCAAGCGATACGGAAGCACCGTCCAGTTCCCCGACACCGCGAAAACCTTGAGAGAGTGGAATGCTCGGAAAATACGTACAGCATCTGCGATACTGAGGGTGCCCGCCGCCGTCCATGGCGATCATGTCTGCGCACCGCTGCGAGAGCGCGAGTCGAACGTTAATTACGTAAGAGCGTGCTGCGGGCTCTCTTATCACTCCGGCTCACGCTGAATTCTAGCGGAATTTAACGGCCGATCAGATGCGCCGGCTAACGGCGCTCGTTAGCGTCAGCGAGCAGCACGTCCGAAAGCACTTTCACTAGATTCGGCTGGATCTCTCGGACGAGCGACCTGGAGCCGCTGGATCCTCTCCGTCCGATTAATCGACGGATTCTCGGCGTCGACTGAGCACTTAGACGCCGCCGACACGTCCTATATAGGGTGGCCACCAGTACCCCGGGGAGACATGAAATCATTGGCATTTAAAATACTACCACCCCGTCCTATACAAACAACCGCACCCGCGCGCGCCCTCCCCCCTGGTCGTTATTATTGCGCGATATTATCCCCCGACGGCCAAGGGACGATCTTCGACGCTTTTCAAGCAGCGCATCCGAAGTCGAAGTCGGATAGGACACGATCAGTGATAACGGCCGACGAAATTGGCGAATCTACGAAGCTTGTCGAGATTACGAATGAAATTGAAAGAGCGTTCGCTCGCGAAACGGATCAATATTTCTAAGCGAGAAGAATGAAGCGTGCGCTCGTATTCTCTTCGAAGAAACGTCAGCTGAATTGAAGCGACAGCCGAGAGTATTATTTGCGCAAACAATATCACTCACGGGAGGGGAAGGAGGACACGTTACATACGAGGGGGGGGGGGATTTTTCTGAAAAATTACTCACTCATTCGTACATCGAGAGATCCGGCTGAGATTACACTCAGCCGGATACTCCAAACGGAGTTCGACGGCGGCATGAGAAATTATTTCGCGCGTTCGCGCCGATAAATTTTCATCTCGTACGGCGGGAAAGATACCCGCCGAGCGGACTATTGTTCCACAATCACTCGTCGCAACACACACACACACACACACAAGCGTGCATCTCGCTATGAACGTATCCCAGAGTTACGCGCGCGATATCGCGCGCGGTATATATCGATAAGTAAAAAATCTCCGTCTAGGAACCTGCGCGCCCGACAATGAGCCATTTATCTAATTATAGGAGACAACGGCAAAGGGAGGAGCCGAACGCTCACGAACGAGTGCGTCAGTCGTTGATTTATCGCGCCGAGGCGGGAGGGGAAGTTTCGAGGCTCTCTCGCGCGTAATTCGATACGCAACACAGCCGGACGCGTCCCGGCGCGTCGCGATGCAGCTCGCTGATAGTCACGGCCGCCGAATCGACCGTTCAATTTTAATTTCACGATCGCGGACCGCCCGCCGCGGTCGCGAGCCGCCCGGCCCGAGAGAATCGCGTCGGCCGTGAGCGACGATTTCACCGATCCATCGATCGATCGATCGATCGATCGATCGGCCCGGCGAAGGGACGACGGCGCGCACGCGCGCGGAGGTGGCGACGATTAGGCACAATGGGGCCGGCTGTTACGACGAATGGATCGCGCGAGAACGGCATGCGGGCTCTCATTGTTTAGGCTCGCCGTGTGAAGGGGAGAAATCGGCGACGTCTTCCGGCCGCGGGGCACGAGGGTGCGCCTCGGTTATAACCGAGCCGAGGGAATTCCCGTTTGACAATCAGCCGGCGCCGCGGCCGGTGAAATCGCAGCGAGGCGGACGGCCGCTCTCGAAAACGTAAATCCTCGCAATCACGGCGTTTACGCGCGTCTTGCGGCACGGAGAACCGCTCGGCCCGCCTGCCTGCCGAGGACGCTCGTGTCCTGCTCGGTTCGCGTGGGAACGTTGCTCTCGCGATTAACTATCCGGCGCGGGATGTGCGTGAAATTCCATCGCCGCTACAATAATTGCCGAATACGAGTCGGCGTCGGGGAGCCGTTTTAACCGTTTCGTATGAATTGCGCTTACTTCGAAGGAGATTATTCGCGGAATGTGTGTACGCTCACGAGATCGGATACACTTGCGGCTTGTGCAAACTGTCGGACGAGTGCGCTATTAAATTGAGATGGACTCTTGTACGCGTGAGGGAGAGTTATGGCGGGGATGCACATCGGCGATTACGCCGGGAATAGAATTTCGAGCCGTCGATAGAAAGGGAGCCGAGTGCGATTCGAGGAGACGTCGAGGGAATTCCCGATTACTAATTGCATCGTAAACAACGACCTGGCGCAATTAGCGAGGCTACCTGCCAGCTCGCGATAGTCGCGTGCTTCGGACGAATAAAAACGGCGGCCGCCGCTCTTGCCGCTAATAAAATACAATGTCGTTATCGCCACGCAATAAATTAGTCGACACGTAGCGGGCGTCAACCGGCAACGTAGTACGTTACAGTTACAGTTAATTACCGGCTGAACACACCGCTGCACCTCGTGCCGCGGCCATTTTTCGCGGCGCGAAAACACCACTTAACGGCCCGCCCGGGGATACCATAAAATCCGTAATTCAACATTGCGTAAGGGCAGAGTGTGCGATTTTGCATGCACGCAATTCTCCCGACGAGAAAAATACAACGGACGTAAGCACGAGTGCGCTTGCGAAGGCGCAGAGGTTATCGCGACGTGACCGCCATGTTGATAATCACGAATCACCGGGAACACAGATAAAAATGTCCATCGATCGAATCGGACACGATCGACACGTTAATTTGCCGGTTATCAGACACTCGCGATAATCGCGCGCAGGACAACGTCGCGCAGCGTTAAAATTCGCTATCGGTCCTACTCGTAACGCTCTCACGTCTCGCTCGATCTAATCGCCATTCCTTCGAGCTACAAGACAAGAATAGAAAAAAGAAAAAGAAAAGCAACGTATAATAGCGCAATATCTCAGGGCTCGCTTTCCCGTGAACCCGCGTCTAATCACCTCGATCCTTTCTCGATGGCGATCGGCGAGCTTCGATGCGAGAATGCGATCGCGCCTACGACGCGACGGCTAACGGAGATCGGCGACCTGCGCCTCGCAAGTGCATACGGAAGAGCGCAGAGGCGGCGACGGCGGCGGCGACGGCGACGGCGACGGCGACGGCGACTACAACAACGGCGGCGGCGGCGGCGGCGGCCAACGCGCGCGGCAGTGCCGTTGGCAGGATAAACGCGCGCGAAGGCAGAGAGGAGACAGGGTAGGGTAGCGAACGGCTGAGAAAAGAGTAGGGTTTAGCCGAACAGCGTGTGCCAAGTGGATTGCAGCGGTCTGCGGTGCACGGCCCTCCCACGAACCACGCCTCTCCACGTGCCGCCACGTGCACGTTTGCTCGCACGTTCTCCTCGCTCCTCTCCGCCGGCTTCCTCCTGTGCATCGCGCCCGCCGCCGCCGCCGCCGCCGCCGCCGCCGCTGTTGCGTCCTCTTCGCCGGTCTTTTTGTTCCCCTCCCGTCGCTCCGGCGGCGGTCTTTTCTCGCGCGCTCCCTCCGACCCGCGATCGCGGGAAAGCGAAGACGCCTGGCTGCGGAGGAAAGCGACTTCCGCGTTGTCCCCTTCCGCGTGCGTTATTACTCACACGGATGCATTATTAAGCCCTTGGTGTGTCATTTAGCTCGATGAAATCCGGGCCCAACCGGTAGGAGACGACGCGCGCTAATAAACGGGCCACGTCGCTATCACTGGATTCTTTCATTTCTGTTTCCATGTAAACGTTTTTTGCCTCTCTCTTAACATTATGTAAGGGTTTATTTCAAAAACTAAAGCACACTAGCACGCTTGTTTTGTAACGTAAATTATAAGAATTGTGAACAACTCTCGTGGCGTAATGGTAAGAACTAAACCACGATTGTAACTGACAATGAGTTCTTTCTTTAGGTTGTTTACTGTGTCGTTGTGCCAACAGTTACTGATACAATTATATGGACGATTGACCCGTGTATGATTAAACGACACATAAAGCTACGAAGACGCTACCCAAGCCTGAACAGTATATATAGCCCGATCATCATTCCACGAGTCTGATTCGTGATATTCATGTTTGGTCCAAAATTGTTATCACGAGTCAGCCTTGTCAAAATACGGCAAGGGATTAAGTAAACATCGAGTGTGTGTGTGTGTGTGTATGCGTGTGCTCCGCGCGTGTAAAAAGATCGCTTCTGCGAAGATGTGATCGCGAGCCGAACGAGAG